CATGAAAACAGTAGAATAAACACAAAGAGAAATAAATAACTGAAATAAAAGCATGTAAAACGACATAGTTCAAAAAACTATACTAGCCCTCAAATGATATTGTTAGAATTAGTAAATGTAGGTAGAAGCAGTGTGACTGCAGCTACAAAGAAATCAGTTAGCTATGAGGTAGAAACAGCGAGCACTGTAACTACAATGATATGAACAATGAGATATGAACCAGTATTGAGGATTACTATGTTTATCTTGGGGGGAAATTGTCCACCTAAAAGCAAAGCCCTCAAATTAGTGTTTACGAGGGTCCTTATGATATGAAGTCACAGTGACTTTTATGAAATTTCGTCTGCTGGAATGCCCAATTATAAGTCATCATGATATAAAATATTATAGTGGCAAAAAATGTACTGTTTTACAGCATATCTTTCTTATGCAGTAAAATTGTCTTCAATCTTCTGTTGTATATTGCTCTGGGAAACGTACCATCTGTGACTTGTACCATGATATTTTCTGAATTATGGTTGTCATAAATGATATCGTTTTATCAGATATAAATTTTAATTTTATGTTTTATTTGTAGACTGCCAGGTTACACTGATCAAGAGATTGTCACATTAGTGTGTTTGATCTCTAAAGTTGCCTTGGAAACACAACTAAGATAGTAAGTATCTCGCATATAACACAGTTGTTGATTGGTCAATTCTTGATCACATGATTGTCAATAAATGCAATATTTTTGTTAATTTTGGACCAAATGAATTTAATTTCCTTATTGGCTTCAGGCTTTGATCCACATTTTTGAATAAAGGTACAAATCCAGGCCCAGAAAAAGAGAAAAACAAAACGTTTTGTATCTGGGCTTTGCACACACAATTTTTTTTTTTTTTTTTTTTTTAGCTTATTTGAAAAAATAAAAGAAATATTCAATATTTCATTAAATATCAAATTTAAAGCACAATTTTAATGACAGAAGTTTTTTTTAAAGTATAATAATCTTTAGCATTGGTGTACCATGTTATAGTCATTTTCTGATGACATTCTACTTCTATGGGTATTGTAACAACAACAATAAAAACAACAATTGTCATCTCCAGAAGACAATTGTCATATGTCCTTACTAGTGGAAATAAACTTGTCAATCCGGGACAGTAATTTGTAGTATTAACCTCAGCTGAGGCCAGTATAAAGTTTACTTTATTTTAACCATATTGTTTATTTCAGTTTGGCTGTACAAGTAGATTTTCAGATGTGTATAGCAGTGTTACTGGAATGTTTTAGACCTGAAGATTGGACAGATAAGGTCAGTGGTGACAGTTTAAATAGGCATTTTACAGTTAGGCAGGTATTTTACAGTTAGGCAAATTATTTCACATGGCATTTTACAGTTAGGCAGTTATTTCACCTGACCGACATTTTACAGTTAGGCAAGTTATTTCACCTGACAGGCATTTTACAGTTAGGCAGGTTATTTCACCTGACAGGCATTTTACAATTAGGCAAGTTATTTCACCTGACAGGCATCTCTCAGTTAGGCAGGTTATTTCACCTGACAGGCATTTTACAGTTAGGCAGGTTATTTCACCTGACAGGCATTTTACAGTTAGGCAGGTTATTTCACCTGACGGCATTTTACAGTTAGGCATGTTATTTCACCTGACAGGCATTGCAAAGTTAGGCAGGTTATTTCACCTGATAGGCATTTCACAGTTAGGTAAGGCATTTCACAGTTACGCAGGTTATTTTATCTACAGAGCATGGAGTTCATCAGGTAGTTAGACATTTATCTTGTATTACTTTTCGTAGTTAGGTATGTTATAATACCTCAAAGTTAGGCATATTGTACAACTTTACAGTTAGTGTCTCATTTAGGCATGTTATCACACCTCACAGTTGTGTTTATCATTGCATCTCGCACAGAATTGATCATTTATTTTCACTAATGTTTGCTGCTTGTTTCCTGACTCAGACATTTGAAATCTGTCAGTGTTTGCCACTGATAACTAATCACCATCATAATATGGTGTATATAGTACAAATACTACCAACGAATACACAGCGGGGGAGGTACCTCAAACGACGGTTAAGGTGAGTTTTGTGACCCCATATACTTATGGTTCCCATCATGCATTTCTTGAAATGATTCTCATAATGCTAAAAAAGCACCTCCATCTAAGCCTAACGAGTAAAAATCGCAATGAAAAACAAAAGACAGATTATTTGTTAGTATAAATAATGTTTTATGATTCAAGTTCAAAACATATCTTGCATTTGAGTAATGTTATTTTTTTCTTATAATGCATTATTTTTTACAGTTATTCTATGTTGAGTAAATTACTGTCAAGTAATAATAACATAAACCAAATTTCTGTCAAAACCAGTCTGAAGGTAAGATTTGTTTTATATGTACCCTTTATCACTTACACATACACGTCTTACCGTCATTGTAACGACACACTTTGGATTAACTTTTAATATAGTTGCGGTATGAACTCGATTACAACGTGTTCCTATATAAAGTTGCGTTTAATTGGTGTTTTAATCAAATTCTATTACAATGCAATACAACAAAGAATTGCGTTTTAAATAAAAGTTGAATATCCTGTGACTGAAAATAGAAATGTTTGCGAAGGGGGAAGGTTTTAATGTTTTACAGATTTGCCAGTAAAACACACCATTTATTTTTCCTATAAATTTATTTAATAAACAAGTTCATTGGGATTTCACACATTCAAAGTTGCAGAATAAACAACAACTTAATTCATTCAATTTGGAAGTTTGTTTTCACTCTAGTGGTTAGCATACATGTACATGCTTTCATCTGTCCAATGCATGTCTTATTGTTTTATGTGTCATATACTTGCATCACATTCATCATTGTGTTCTAATCAGTTTTTCTACTATACATATTTTACAGGTAAATGACCTGTTACAGATTTTACAGATATGTAAACCCACCAATGATGCCGACTACTATGAGCTTAATAGTATTGTAATGTTGGTTGATATGTGTATTGGCAATGAGCCGCTTAGATCCACGGAAAAGGTAAACTGCGGGTAGATACTGTAAAATATTTTATTTTTGTTCAGAATTAATTTTCACTATTTTTGCTGCAGGAATGGTTCAGTGAGAATAAAATCCAGCGAATATACCTTTTTTTCTATATTTTACATTCAATTTGCCAAAAATAAGTGAAAACAAGTCATTGTCAATGACACGTCCCCGTTCCGTTCATATTTGAGTGACAGATACATTCAAAGCAGATCATGACCGAAATGCACCTGCATATGTACAACACATTGTGCTAAATCT